CTTTGTTTATTTACTTGGTTATGCAACTAGAAGAGTTTCACATTAAAAAATAACAAACCCATTCATGTTCACATATGGAAAGACTGAAACGATAGCAAAGCTGTTGGTTGTTTCTATCTTTAAGCAAAGCTGTAATGCACTAGAGATCTCATAGCATTTGCATCACTTGACTTCTGTAATAAGAGCCAGCGTCCTAATGAAATCCCTGTATAGTTCTGATTTTCTCTAATTACACTGGTGAGTGCAGCATATTATGTGTTTAGTGCCCAGATGCTTTCCTAATAGGCTGAAATCAGAGTTTTCTTTCCAGTTTACACAGCAATAAAAGGACTGAAATCAGTGGCTTGTAGAATATTAAATATAGTCATGCTTATGTAAGAACACTAGCACAAATGTAATTCTCATCAAAATCTGAAAGCAGTAACATTTTATCTGTTTGAAATTCTATTGAATGGGTTCTGAATTTACTGATGCAAACAGAATGAACAAATAAGAAACCATCATTTTAACTGTCAGTTGTTGGCATTTGTCTGTCTCTGGGGGTGAAGTCAAACTGCTGCGTTAGCAGCACCGAAGTGACTTCCCTGGTCCATACCAAAGTGACCTACTGTGGCTCAGTGGAGGTTGCTGCTTTCACTGTGTGTGCCTGAGACTGCCCTTGTTTCTTGTCTTGGCCCTCTTTCCTGGCTGTTAGGCATAAGAGTCTTCCTTGCAGTTGGTAGATCTTGAACCTGTGTCCCAGGAGTGTTGCACATGTTCTGTGTAGCCCCCTATGCAGGTGCTGTGTTTTCTCCTTCCTCCCCTCTGTGTGTTGTGTTCCTGAAGCAGTGTTGTGTTCCTAAAGCAGTGTTTGTTACAGGTAAAAAGGGATTTGTACTACTCACCTTTCAAAGTCTGCTGGCCCTACCAGGGAATGTCTCACTAGACTCATTGCTCTCCTTATCCTTTTCCCTCATATATATATATTGACTGCCTCATACCAATACCACCTGTGTAGCCTGAGATACCTGGTCCATCACAGTCCAAGAAACCGTATCAGCACATATGAGAAGTCATTGTTACTAGGCTTGCAACCATTGACCCTGAGTCCTGGATCTCCACTCTCACATAGTGTCATTTGAGGCCTTCTGAAGCTAGATCAAACCAGGGTTTGAAATACCGAGGCAAAAATTTATTATGCGAACTGGTCAACATAAGTTGACGCCATAATAAATTTGTTAGTCTTTCATGTGACACAAGATTCGTCAAGATTCTGACAGTATTTACCTTGCTTAACCTTTGCTGTAATCAAGACCAGCAATCCTAGCATCATTCTTCAAATACTTTGCTTTCGTCATCTGACAAGGAACCAGTTGTTGCTCTAATAATTCTCTGCTGTGTTTGGCCCCTGAACAAAATAAACTTCAGAAAAGATGTATTGAATTGGTTCTAACAGGCGCTTATTTGACATATCCTGTTTCTGATTCTTGGAGTTTTTGAATAGCAAAAACATTAAGGGCCTGTCCACATTTCCAGTTGTCCTGCACTTATTAGAATTTGCATAGGATCAATAGTACTGATCTGAAAGCTTTCCATTTATACCCCGACCTTTATCGGAACAAATGCAAAACCTCTTAAAACCTGAATAGAAATTTGTTCCCCTTCTGATCTGATCCTTTTTTTAGCTCCTGAACAGAAAAATGTGCACTTTCCCTTGTGGTGCATTGTTTGGGTGGTCCTCTTTCACTTCCACCCCTTCTGTGCACCTCTGGTTCTCTGCCCCACGCTTTTTAAAAATGTGTCTGCCTTTTGTGCTCATCGCATTGCAATCGATTATATGTTCACATATGGAAAGACTGATTAGAGAGAAGTGAGCATGAAAGCAACTTCCCTTTCCAGTGCCAATAGCGGGCGGACTGTTCGGGGCAATGCGGAACCTGCAGGCCCCATGGTGAGTGCCGCCCACCATTTTGTCACCCCCCTCAGTGGTGACACCGGAAGCAGACCGCCCCCCTTCCTCCGCCCCTGATGTGTGGCTCTGCTGTGATGCAGGGACAGAGAAAAGGGTGGGGACAAGGAGAAAAGTGGAACAGTGGAATGGACATGTTTCAAGGAATTCACAGTTAAAAAGATCAATGTACTCTGCATCGGTGGGAACCTAAAACCCCAAACTAAACTTGAGGTGAGACAAATCTGCAATGGATAAAACACAAACTTTTGTGAAGTGTGGGTGGACCCTAAGGCAGGGAAATTGTTGCAATACAAATTTCTGAAAGGTAGCCATGTTTTTATGGTAGACTAATGCACTGTGGCACAAGCTTTTGTGAGCTAGACTCACTTTGCCACAGGCATGGTCACTTAATTGAGTACTTACAGTATGTGTATGTGCGCGCACACACAGAGAGAGAGATAGACAGACAGACAGACGACAGACAGACAGAGAAACAGAGAGAGAGTTCAGAAGTAGGGGAGCCAAATGTTATTTCCAAAGTATTGGAAAAAAAGAGTGATAGGCAATGCAAGAGATGATAGCAGCAGGTGTATCAGCACCATGCAGAGTACATATGAACACAGAATCTAGTCAGTCTTTTTCAGTTTAATGACCTGCTTCTCTGATTAGTGCCTAGGTGATGAATGGCATAGCCAGATCAACAGGGATAATCAGTTTCTTTGGTGAGCTAGGACATATATATATATATGCCAACTTCCCTATGTAAAATGTGCTAGTGAATTCTAATCCAGCAGCCTCATGTTGAAATTTTTAACCTTTTTTCCTGGGAGTTTGGTTACTTTGTTACAGAATGTCCTGGAAAACTGAAATGCTTCCTATTAGCAAGTGTAACCAATCTGAACCTGTATAGGAATAGTTTTTTATCTATTTTTATTTTTATCACTTGTTGTTTGCGACCCTGCACATAAATTTATGTCTGATTTTGTATGCCTTTATTCTCTTGCATAAAGCATGATGTTTTGGCTTGTGTAAATGGTGAAAGGGAATTATTGGCAGAGGACAGCATACCTCAGGTTAGAAGATGTGCAGGTGAATAACCTCTTGGTGGAATGGCTGAAATTGTCAGGGCTCTAGATGGTGTTGCTAGAGTAGCAAGGGGACCAAAGTTGGCACCAGGGTTTGCTTAAAAGTTTTACCCCTGATGGTTCATTGCTGTAGCTGCTTCAGATTGATGGGGCTGTGTGAAAGGACAGGCCTACACTGACCCTAGTGAGAGGAAAGGGCCATCTCCCAGGATAGATTGCAGATCTTTGATAACATATTGGAAAAGTTTTTATTTGGAACCTGAAGGTGACACAATTAACCAATATAAAATTGGCACCCTAAGCATTCTTATATTTTGCAAAAAGAATGGAATGCCTGGAATCCTTTTCTCTATTGAAGGCTTTTCTTTGATACCTATATTTAATATAAATCAGGAAATTTGAAATGAGATGGAAGTACACTGGGCTCTTGATATAATAGCAAAGTTGTTTTGAGGCTTTAGAGTTCATTTGTTTTACAGATAACGCTGAGAACTGCAGATGATTTGCCAAGCATATAAGAACTGTGATCTGCTTCACATGACACAGTAAGCCAAACTATGGCTTTCCAGGATTGCACAAATGTGCAAACTCCCAGAGTGAAGACTCACAGCCACTTTGCTCCTCTGCAGCTTTTATCGTTAATGAGGAGCAAACTTAAATCACAAGCTAAGTCAAACCTTTCCCACTGGTTTCACAAGAGGGACATGATAATAATTTTGTACAGTTAGGAATCGTGTGAATATAGTGAATAGAGAGACATAGGGTTAGATCTGGGCTTAGGCTGAATTTCTCTAACCCGATTTACTTAGGAGTAAGTAAAAGCTCTAAATTCTGTTTAGACTTAACTGAAAGGTGCTTGTTTTTATTTTTTTATTTTATTGAATTTATATACTACCCTATGCCTGGAGATCTCAGGGCGGTTCACAGAACTAAATCAGAATATAAAACCACAAAATATATAATCAAAATAAAAGCAACAACCCAATAACCCCCCCCCCTTTATGGCTCAACAGCCATGGTCTGTCCATCGTAATTGGCATTTTAACTTATTAATTAATCAAAATTAAAAGGGGGAATCAGGTTCTTGTAACCACAATCTACAGTAACCTAATTTTTTGTTAATTAGATACAAACCCTACCTTATCAGGGAGGGCAGCTTGTGGGTAGGCTCTATGTATATATGAGCTCCCATATCTGTTGATTAAATTACAGTCATGTGCATGTGGATGGATAGATAGATAGATGCATCTTATATACGTATATGAATGTATGTGTGTTTCTAGGATGTACTTAGTGTTCCTTTAAACTTTTACATAAGCGTGCCAACTCAAGCAGGCATAGGACTCATCAAGTATGAAGATTTTTTAAACATTCATGTTGATTTTAATTAGAACAATCATACTGGATATGCTGATGAAGGTGTGAACATAAACAAGACTTCGATTTTCAGTATCATTTTTTTATTACAGAAATTAATAGGTGTGTGTGTTTTTTTAAAACAAAAACACAAACATGTTGAGAAGGTTAGGTTTTTCAGTCTAAATCAATGTTTCCCATTTTCTTAGTACGTAATTTTTGTAATGCATATTAAATAGGAAAATCCTAGTTGATAATTAGATTAAAAATAAATATATGTTGCTTATCATTTTTGTTTAGTTTGATTTTATAATTACTGACACCATTTTAATTTAAATTGAAAAATCTAGAACTGCATCCTACTAATTTTCTTTCTTTCATCAGAGACCGAGACTTCTAAAGTCTGATATCAGAATAAGTACGATGGGGTTTTTTTTTCTTGTGCATGTATGCATGCAAATAAAAAAAGAGCACTGTGGAGCTAACATCATATGAAAATCTTGCCATATATGCTTTCTCTCTTTATCAAGATTGCATGATTGTATTACTAATGCAATTCTAATATGATATAGTAATAACAGCCCATCACAGTTCTTTCACCATATTGTATCACTGCTTTATCGTATTAGGCTAAAGCACTGCGAGAGTTGATAGAACCTCCCCATGCCAACTCGGATCCACTTCTCTTGGCACTGAACCGATTGGACTCAGAGATTGATAAACTATTGGTTAGAGAATTTAGATCGGAGAGAATTGGCACGACGGAGACTCATCTTCAGCCTCTTGCAAGCAACCTCTAATGTCCTGCATTCTGAAAGCCAATCAATTCTTCTTGAATAACTGATGTTTTTAAGAAAGAACTGACTTTAAAACATAGACAACCAAATGCCTGGGTAAGGGGCCTCCAGGAAAGTCTTACAAAGGGCAAACCTGTTGCCAGATCTATTGCTTTTATTTTGAAGAATGCATCCTTTCTACAGAGGGATTAGGCACAATATCAGACCCAGGCTACATGGAATACAGTTGCAGAAAATACTGCTCACCAACTTGGGAGAAACAGAAGGGGGAAAGGGTGATGGCAGGGGAAGGGCTATGATGATACTCAGGTGTGTTGTGCAGTCTTCAAGGAAGGAAAGAGGGATCAGCTGTGGTAACTATAAAATCATATTTTGAAAATATTTTGAAAACTTCACTTACTTCCATTCATCCAAAGTGGCAAAAGCTAATACCATTCCTAGTGTATTTCACAGTAGTGAAGGAAGATAACTTGCTGTATAATACTCATTCAATGTATTCTGTCAAGTCCAAGTGTGCACAGACTGTTGCAAGACCTAAAGCCGAATTCTAACTGTGTTTACTTAGGAGCAAATCCTATTAATTTCAGTGGGATTTAGGCTCAAACTACACATGATGGTAGCAGAACCATTTATTTAAATCCACATCTCTACCAAAAATGTCCACAAAGGATGTGAACAGATTCCTTTTTTAAAGCAAAGGTTGTATGCCTTTGGGGACTGGTGACCCTTTCCTCCATGTGCTGTATCTTCCTGCAGTTTGCCCCACGGGACATTTTATTCTAAGCTGAGCTCCAATTCCAGAATTGAGCTCAATGTGGAGAAGAAAAGGACTGGGGAGAGGCTTTAAGGTGGTTATTAGCAGTGTACATGTGGAAGGTTCAGTTGGCCTAAAAATCACATCCCTACTCCACACTTAATATGTGATTGAAGCAGACCTGGGTTTAAATACTGTCATGTGTAGCTTAATCCTTGTTTTCAAGTAAGTGTGCTTAGGATTGCAACAGAGTTTGTTAAGCAGTTTATTAATGATTTATCTGATGGTGCACAAATACTGATTTTATGACAGTTAATATAATGCCTCACTTTGGTGTGTTTCAAACTGCAGATAGAAATCTTCAATTTCTCCTTACCTTCTAGGATTTAAATGTGAGTGATGTTGCCTTGCAGCATAGACATAAGGTATTCTCTGTAAATCCTTCAGGATCCCTAGGAGGCAATTTGGAGGGGCCAAGATTTCGATGGAATGTCTCCCTAAGTAGATTCAGATATTGTCTATCATTATGTTTTGGGTCTCCTATGGATCATTTTTTGCCTGTATCTCTGTGATTGGATGTGGGTTTTCTTTCTATTTTTGGCTAAGGGTGTACTGTAATGTCAATGCTAAATTCTTGATATTTCATACTAATTATGGAGAGAGAATTTTAAGATGTATTTTGAAATGTTTTATTTCTGTCAGGTCCATGTATGGTATTGCATTATGTTAATACCAATAAAATATATAGAGTTATTTATATACAAATGCATATATTTCCCTTTTTATAAAGGTGTTGCAATTTTTTCATAAGGAAATAATACACAGCAACTGCTTGACAGCAGTAAGAAAACTCTAGAAGCTTTAATATGCAATAATAATAATAATAATAATAATAATAATAATAATAATAACAACCTGTATTCTGTAGGCAGACCAGTAGAAAATGCTTGTAATTTTTAAACAAGGTTATTTGACCTGGCATAAGTCTGTCAAGATTTGACTATAAATTCAGCTTCCACTCTTTTTATGAGCACAGATCTAATGTTCTTGTTTTATCAAAATATGTTGATTATTAGCTGATGTTTAGAAAGTAAAACAATAATCTTTGGACACACTTCATTCAAATATAATCACTTTAGTTCTGCTGATTAAATAAGGGAGTTAAGTGCAGGCCTAAATCCCATTGAAATCAATGGGGTTTGAAGTGCTTAACTTTGACTGGATTTAGCTGTTTATGGGCTGTTGTGTCAGTTGACTAAAGATACAATCTCCCTGCGTTTTTTAAATTAATCATATGTTCTAAGAAATTTACTGTAATTCACTGCTGTTTTGATGCTCGGCAAAAGCAGCCTTCAGTTTTTTATAGAGGGTCTATTTTTTAGGGTTAATAAACTACTGCTTAGTGCATAAAGATTTGCAAGCCGGAAGATTTATCACTCAAGCCTAGCTGGATTGGCTTGAAACCTTTACAGTTTATCATTAAATTCTGTAATTAGGCAGAAATGAAATGTTTTAGAAATGAATCAGGGAGCTAAAAGCTGAGATTAGAATTTAAAGTATCTTCCATTATCAGTTTTCAGTGATGGCTCATATGTAACACTTCGCCTAAGGCTGAAAGGAGCTGACATTCTGGCACCATTGTGCATTCAAATTTCAGCATGGACGTTTCTGTCCCAAAATAGTGTATTGAATGACCATTTCCATTTTGCAGGGATATTCATGGCAGCAGTTAACTGTCCAAGACATTAATTGCACATATCTTTGTAAAGCTTCTCTGTACTACTAAAAATAAAGTTTGTAAAATTCCAGTTATTTTTTTCTTAATGCAAACAGGGTTTTTTAACAAAGAAAAAAAGAGGTGAATTGCTTTCTACTTTCTTCCTTGGAGACAGATATTTCAGTGGTTCTGCTTTGCCGTTTTTTCTTAAGGCCTTTTCTTGTGATGAACCTGGACATTCACCGAATGATTCAGAATGGGCATATTTCTTTATTGCTTTCTCATACCATTTCTGATGTTACAAACTCAAGTTATAAGTATGCTGAGGATTTTTTTTTGCAAGGGTTATACCACACTATGAAAAGCAACAGGAAGGGCTATACACACAATATATCCAGCATATCACTCAAGTTATTCCTGTGGAAATAACCCACTAAACTCATTGATGCAAAGCAGCATGCGGCACATTTGGTTTCATTGTAAAGCAATGAAGTTGGTTGGTTATCAGTAGCTATTGCCCTCAGTAAAAGTGTGCCCTGCCTCTAAAAACAGATGCATAATTCAAAACTACATGGAAGAGCATCGTGCTGCATTGATTGCTTTCAGATGGGACATCTATCTGCCATAAAGTAAGAAACCTAACTACCATGGTGGTAGTCCTGGAAGCATAACTGGGCCTGTGTTGGCACTTGAATGAGAACTGTGTGGTGCTTAGTAATTTAACCCCTCTATAGAGTTCGCAAAGATATTGCACTATTGGGCTATTCAGTGTAAAAGTACATAAGTTAGGAGTGCACATTTGTTGGCCTCCTTACAGGGTGCTTTCATGGTTAAATCTATGTAATGTAGTTGCCATGGTGATACAACTATTGCTGTGGATCACTTCTGATCCATGAACAGAAGGAGATTTTGTTCACAGAAAGAGAATTGCTCTCACGTTGAAAAGGCCCGTTCTGTGAGTGCAAGCTTTCTGTGATTACAGAACAAAACATTACGATCAAATATGGTATATATATTACATTTGTGATATGAGTAAAGATTGTGTGCTGAGCATACCTGTACTGTATTCATAGTTGAATACTTGCCCTAAAAACCTTGGCAGACAAGTGTTACTCAAATTTGACTTGACTAATGTAACTAAGACCAGCCACCTCCACCATTTGTCATTTAACCTTTAGTACACCCTCATATACGATAACCACATTTCACGCCACAGATATTTTGCTAAAAGAACAATAATTATGTGTCACTTGTTGTAGGCTTTTCCATAAGAACAGGATTATCCCCTTCAAAACTGATTTCCCATAGAGTGAAACAAAAAACGAAACAAAGCGCCAACCTATTAATTGCTTACCGTGGTTCTGATTCTATCAGCATTAAGTATCAGAGTAGTATTGTATTACCTGATCCCTGAAATAATGAAAACTAAAAACTAATCTGCCATCGAATGTGGTAGTGATTTTTAAAAAATTACTTGAGTTCCTTTCCCTACGACTGTAACTGCTTTGTTCACCACCAAAAAATACATGAAATAAACAAGCTGATCTATTTGTTGTATAGTGCTTAAACCAAATGAGTTAGGATAGGTTTATTAATGTTTGCCATTGCACATACATTATTTTGAAGCATATTTGTTTTCTGCTAATTTTCTGTTGATTTTATTTTTATTATTTTTCTCTTTTCTTTGTACTTTCTGTCAATAGCTACCTCTTATGACCTTCAGGTAAGAAGCTTGCTTAGTTGTTTCTTTCCTTTGAAATGATGAAGGCTCAGTGTAGTGTCAATCAGACTGTGCCTCTCCATACTGAAAGCCTTTTATGATGCTTTAAAATGGTTGTTAACCAGGTCTTACCTCAAACCCTTCAACCAATTGAAAATGACATAATCTCAATTAAGGTAGCTTAAGGGACAGTTGTTCTGAAATGCAATAACTTACAACCTGATAAGCAAATATTATTCATTGCATCTTTCATCTTTTCTTCCTGAAATTGGAGAATATGATATATTCTTTATTATTTAATTCAAAATTGTTCAAGAAACTTAAATTCAAGGCCCAAACTGTATTGTTTAAGTTCCAGTTTTAAGATATGTTGGGATGGAACAAGCCCATTGGACACTGATTTCAGCATCCTTGTAAGTGGGAAAAGAACTAAAGGTCAGGGGGTTGGGGGCTGGTAATTTTTCTAGAGATGATTGATTATAACTGCAGTTCCTAAGACCCCAAACACTGAAGGTGGAAAGGGGTAAAGTGAGACATAAGGATATGAGGGATAGTTGGGGAAAGAGAAAAGGAGTTTGGCAATGGTCATTTACCCGGTCCAAGGGTGGCTGGCTATTGCAACCCAACACAGCTGCTCAGATGCGCTTTGGAGCCTTGTCATTGCTGCCCGGCTGTTGGCCGCTCCCCCCAGCTGCCACGGAGCATCACAGATTCCCGCCTAACCCGTTTTTTAATTCAGCCAATCTGCGGCAGCCTGGGGGATTGTTTGTCTTTGGGAGTGGACCTGGAGACCGCAATTTTCACTCTGTTCTGTTCCCCAGGCATTAGAGTGGCCAGAATTAGCATGTATAAAGAACCCTGTGGTGGAGCAGAGGGAAATGAGAAAGTATGACAGGGCACAGGAAAAAATAAGTGAGCAACACGGGGTGCAGAGAATCTTGTCAGTTTTGGAAAGACAGAAGAAGCAACTATGATGTGATAGATGACGTGTGCTATGGAGTGCAGAGAGATAGGAGGGAGTTTGTGCTGTGTAAAAAAAAAAAAAGGATGGTTAACGTGAAGTGGACCTTGGGGATTCTGAGAAAAAGAGAAAGTAGAAGATATACAATATGAAGCACAGAGAAGGGGGGTGTTAACTGATAAGGAAAAGGCTAAGTTAAAATTGTAGCATAAATGTGTTAAAGTCCGTAACTCAGGAGTCAGCCCTCTTGAGTTAATAAAAATACATAAGCTACCTTCGGTTCTGACCCCTGGTATTTGGCATTTGTGTTTAGTAATACTCCCATTTAGCTCAATCAGCTGGGAATGTAGATTAACACATAAGTAACAGAATAAGTGGAATCATAGGCTCTTAAAGTTGGAAGGGACCCCATCTAGCCCAACCCCCTGCAAAGCAGGAATCTTAGCTAAAGCATCCATGACGGATGGCCACCCAACCTCTGTTTAAAAACCTGCAAGGAAGGAGAGTTCACCACATCTCGTGGGAGTCTGTTGTACTGCTGAACAGCTCTTACTGTCAGAAAGTTTTTCCGAATGTTTAGTCGGAATCTCCTTTCTTGCAACTTAACTTATTTTATTTTCGTATTATGCCATCCTTGCTATCATTTGCAATACAGCTATTGGGGAAGGATTTAAAAAAACTGCTATGAAAGAGAGTTGGGGTTCTTTCTCAGAGCATTTCCTATCTAAAACAAGTTATTTCTTTTTCTTTCTCAAGTTTACAACAATTTCCTATTTTCCACATGACAGATTTTACAAACGCTTAATGCAAAATTCTAAAGACTTTGGCCAAAAGTTAAAACTTGCATTGCAGTTCCTGAGTTTAATTCTTGTCATGTTCACACATGACCAATAAACAAAACTCTAGCAATGGAGCCAAGCTTTACATGTGGGGCAGCCTCAGTTTTTCTGTGGATCAAATGGGACAACATAAACAGGCTATATGAAAAGAGGTGTTAAAGAAGGCACAATCCACTTGCTGCAACTGGTGTCATCAGTGGTCCATACTGTGTTCTTCTGTGGTGTCTGTAAATAATATAAATCACAGAGTAATACTCCTCTGATCATTCCATCGATCAGGCTGGAGATAGCAATATCTGAGGATGAAAAACACTAACAAAGCTAGAAGAAAGATAAAACATGTAGGGCTAATTTTATGCCAATCCTTCCCCACCCTTTCAGTCTTTTGTGATCAGTATCTCTGTCAATCACATCCACAATATGTCACAAACACTTTCAGTTGGATCCAGAATTAGATGCCCAAGCAAAGAGCTCCTCCAGACCATCTTGTTTATGAATCCTGATTTGCTTGTGCAAAGCACAGACGGTTGGTTGGACTGTGTCCAATTATTATAGAGCATTTCTTCTGATTTGTTTGTGGGGAGATTATATGAAAATCTATTCATCTTCATTTGCTTGTGGGGTGTTTATATGCCTTTTCATTG